ATATAGAACCTTTTGGTGGTCCTGCTGATTCACGCTCGGACAGGAGCATGATTACGAACGATTGTCCTCATTTGTTGACTGCCTTTTCCTCTTTCTTGGTTTCAACATATTGATGAATACGCATTTATGTGTAGATAGTTGTGCGTTGTGTCCTTCTCAGGCGGACCCGCACCGACCCGCCGTATCGCGGTGAGTGGTAAAGGTCCTTCACGCACACGCACGCAATCACTTCAATCGCACGCAAGCAGAGGCGCAGATCCGTTGGGCACGGTAGCGTCTGTTTCCTCTTTATCCAGTCAACCAATGAAAGAGAGCACACGATGATCAAGCAGGCTCGTCTTACGATAGTCTAGCTATCCTCTACCTACCGGCGAAACGTCATTATAATTAGCATATATAATACAGCTTTAGCGGGCGCAAGGTACGCTGTTGACCTACGCTGTCCACGTAGGAACCGAAACAGCAGGGATTCTAGCAGAAATGTTGACACCCAAATTCTCAGGGGATCTGTAAATGTCAGCAGGCAAACGGATGATGACGGGATAAATTAGACTTGACTAAATTCGACAGAACATATCGGAAATAAGCATTATTTCCTATATTACAACCTTCGTGCGGCTTCGCTCAATACCAGGTGTCTGTGTACTAATAAAAGTTTTACTATGAGGGTTAATATATATATGAGGTGACCTACCGGAGATGTGGGTACGTATACAAATGTCCATGCTCGGTAAGAATCCACTTTTAATCTCTCTGTTTCCTGTGAGAAAGAGTAAAGAGCTCAAGTTGAGCATAAGTAGCATATTAGTGGGTGGTACGATAACATTCAATAATAATAAATACGTCACATGCCAAACGGAATGACGACCCATTAAAAGGTATTTTCGTTCAAGTCGCGACCGGCGAGACAAACAACGATGTGTATCTAGAATCGTGCACTTCGGACTTAATAGTATTTAGTTGTAGATGTTGGCGCATTCTAAAAAAATGAGACGTACTCAAACTATACACAGGGCTCGCTGTACAGAATATGCCATCTCAACATCGTGAAACCCGCTAGTGAGCGACTCGAAGTTGAGCTACTTTGAAAGTTGACGTTGATTGGGGGGTCCCTTCTCGGTTATGGCAGGATAAACAAAAAATGCAATGAAGATGTCAGCAGTTGCTAATAATGGACATGGTACGCGCATTGGAAGCGACTGAGCTCGAGGCCACTGAAAACGTTGCCGATGAGTGAGCTCGTGAGGCTCTTGAGACAGGCCGAGATGAACTGAGGACCCGCGGTTCAGGAATTATAGGATAGTTCCATTCAAGAAGTTCCGGACCACCAGATGACACTGCCTCCACGGGCGTTGTAGCTTTCGATACGTTGCTTGCACCCTTTAGATTGCTGTTACTGCCAATGCTAATCTTATTATTGAAGCAGCTGTCGTTGGTAGAGGTACTGGCTCTCCCGACGGTTACCACCAGGGGGCCTTCGGATACCTTCTCAACGTAACCAATAACTGCCGCTTTAGAAGAATCCTGAAAAACACAACAGCCGGTGTAACAACACCAAAGCAATTAATAGAAGACTGTTTTCGTACTCGTTTACATGATGTGCCATATGTGGTATCCCATATCCCTGCAGTATCAGAAATGATTTTAGATTACATTCCAGCATTATCTTTGAATAAACTATTAAGCAAAAATAAAATATTAAGCAAAACAAAAAAAATATCGTAAAGTCTGCGTATATACTGTGCGGTCAGTGTAATAATATTTGGCAGTAGGTATTACGAAACATTCTGAGAGCGTAAATGCGATTACAAAAGATTGTACTTGCGAAACATTGTGTTCGGGATCTACAGGGCAATCCGTTGTGAATCCTTCAGGAGGACGGATGGTCGGAATCTGTAAAATGTCAATGGCCTCATCGCCGCTGTCCGAAAGTTGCCGCTGATGGGTTGTATGCCCGACTTGCTGCGTGTCAGGAGAAGGCGCTGTGGGAGAAGCGGCCGTTGAGTTAGAGGATGTGGAAGCGCCTGCCCTTAAAGAAACTCGCGATTTTCGGTGGGAATAATCCTGAAAATAGGACAGAATACTATGAGCCTCAAATTCTCACAGATACATTTTAACTCTCAGGCTATACTTTACTTAGATTGTTCTGCATAACGCCTATATGTTTAAATAACTTAACAAACATCTTAGTTGATCGACAAATAGATACTGTGACATACCCATTTCATTGTTTTACAACCATGGCTTTCGCTGCATCTAAAATTATGCGGAAACTTCTCTGTTTCTGATTAAAAAGTATCGAATAAGAGCGGTATTATAACCAAAAGTAGTCTGGTGTGTTAAATTTCGATAAGTTGTGCCTATGCAATCATTATGATGACCATGACACTTCTCTATAACTCGTTACCTTGAACGATGATCTTCCAGAATCGTTTGTTCCTTGTGTGTTGTCGCTGTGGTCCGAATCTTCTGTATCTGATGATTTGGCAGAAGAACTTTTTGACGCAACAGGAACAGACTTTTTCAATGCATTTACTTCTAACTCGAGTCCCTTACAGCGTTCCTTCAACTCCTTTTCGATTCCCATTAACGAGATTTTATCCACCTCGAGCCGCTTCAGGGCGCGTCGTAGTAGCTCAAGTTCTGTGCGTAACTTAGAGTTTTCGCTTTTAATTTTTTTGCGCTCAGCGAGAGCGTGGTCAACGTTAAGGAAGTTGTCTTTCCAGCGACGCACTTCCTCCCAGACGGGATCTTGGGATGGGAAGCCTTTTTCAATTAGATTCTTTTCTAGGGCTGTTATATCGAAACCAACCTCATCCAGCTCATTCTGTATACGCACTTTATCTGATGCCGATGGCGTGTAGATATGGACGCAGTTGAAAAAATATAGAGCAGCCAACTAGAAATAGTCATAGGATCGAAGGAACAATATAAATTAATAGTCTTCTTCAAAATAACACTGGGGGTATGGGGGTGTTTGTACGTCTCATTCATGCATGAACGTATATAAATAATCCGTATCAGCATTTATTATAAAATCGAAATTAATATTCAATATATTATGGTGGACTAATGTATGTATTATAAACCCACCTCAAAGCCAGTTGCCATTTTACTTCGGTTCAATAGCATAGACACAAGGAACTTAAATCGCACTGTTTCTCCGTGGATCACTCTCACAGCTGAGATAGAATCCATTACTTTTTGATACCCCAGGGGGTGTTCTTCGATGACTCGTGACATCAACTGTAGCGCAAATTTTCGTGTGACGGTGCATGAAGACATCACCGAAGAGGCTATTGATGTCATACCACCTCCATGGGCGATCAATTTACTTAACGATTTCTACATGGGCCATTAGACATACGCAAGCAAACAAGACGGCAAAAGTTATTTGACAATTTCGTGCTTCAGAGTAGTAAACTTTATTTTTAAGTTATACTATGTCTCTGTACTTCTGGATAACAAATCTAAAATGTTCAATAGATTTCGCTATTAACATATGCGGCGAGAATGCTCTATGTAAATCCTCAAGAGGATACAGTGTTTTTTTTTTTTTTTTTTGTTCCAATAGACTATTCGTAGTTAGTTTTAAGTCGGTATAGGTTTTTAGAACAAGTTCAGCTTATCTTCTTCATAGTGAAAGGTTGTAAAAAAGATTTAAACTAAAAAAGATTTAAAAAAGATAAAACTTTAATAGTGATTGAAAACATGCAAAGAAGTCTATTAAGCACATCTTTTTGTCCCACTTCGCTCGTTGCCTCTTCTTGCCGTCATATCTTGAGCTTCATAGAGCTATAATGTAAATTCAGTTAGAAAAGACAATGACAACTATAAGCGAATATTTAGCTCCCTGTTTGCATGCTCGTTCGTTGACTCATGGGTTTACTGACCTTACAGCGCAGAGTGTAGAAGATGCATTCGATGCAATCCAACTCTTCAGACTGTGGGCATTCACATGCAAAAAAAAAACAAGGAAAAATCACAATAACTAGACGAAATCTACAAATCGATAAGGAGCAAACAATCAAAACTCGCTTTAGCATTAATCTATAGACAATATACGATATCTCGGCTATCCCATACGTTCAAAAATGTACAATGAGCATCTGTTTGTCTGTATTAGCAACAAATGACTCCATCACTACGACGAAACTTCTATTTTCCCTATTAAAATACTTTAAAAAAGCTGTTGATCTATTTGAAAAAGGTATTTCCTAGCAGAAGTATTGGTCCAGTTAAGTTTGAATGAACAGAAATACGTTAGCATAGGTACGGTGGTTATGTTCTACCGGTTTCATGGTCCGTAATGCACATCTGGATCTCACTCAAGTTACCATAAATGCTGATATCGATCAACCCTAACTGTCGATCGAGTATTTCTTCGTCACTCTTTTCCTTATGGTATCGTCCCGCTCGTTCGTCTTTATTCGATTACTCAATATATGTACTTGTGACAAATAGTCTTCTGAAGTTTAAATTCCCACCCGCACTTCGAAATCGCTCTTGCACAAGATCAAAATTCCCTCCATTTTCTATTAGATAAAGACGTCTACGTATCCGATATTGCGTTTGCTGGCGTCGTCGACGTATTTTGTTATTTACTGCTCAAAGGGAAGCTCAAGCTGTACCCAGTTTTTCTTTCGCCTGGGTGATATATCGGTAGAACTGACAGCAGCAGCAGCAGCAATAAGACATATATATATATAGGGCACCGCTGGAAGCATTACGGGATTGAAGCAGTGGCCGACGCCGCTAAATATCGAGCCAAGTATCGTTTCGATTCAAAAAAGCCGAACTCCACCGCCCTCAGCGGTGTTCTGCTTGTGGCAGTAATCCCCTAGACGCTAACCGCATCACCGAGTCAGACGCAAGCACATAACGCGCATGCAGATATACGTTACCAACAACACCGTATGTCAGCACGTCAACATGCCGAGCAAATCGGCTTACGCCCCAACAACGTCAATATCAAAGGATACCAGTAATGGCGTTGACCACCGTCGGGTGACTCCACTTCCTAATAAATTACATTAGTTGATTACATAATATTTTTATTAAGTCTTTCGTTTATTTCGACGATCAGAGTGAGACAAGTACGTATCGGTAAATGTGATTCGTTTCTGTCGTCGCCTTTGCTTCTACTACACTTGACTATAAAATGTACACACTTTCATAGGCTATAAAATCAGCTGCGAACACAGAAATAATAACAATTGTTGGTCCAAAGCGAGAAATCGTCATAGGCGATGTACCCCGTTGCAGAATTGGGATCTTACTATTCAAATGGTCATGTCTATTGATGAATGAGATGTTGCCCGAGCGCCGAATATACCGTAGATATTGTGGTCATAATGTACAGTTCCATGCAGCGACCCAAGAGTTACGTCGGTATAGCTGTTACTATTGTTTATTGGTTAGTCCCTTTGGGTGAATATGTACACGTGTTACGCGTACCTGATTGGCAAAGATTGATAAAGGTAAATAACGAAGCATCGACCTGTAAACGACATTATCTCGTAGCTGATTCGTATGGGCTTTACGCGTATTCAGTATTAATACGATTTATCTCAGCAGAGTCGCTCACGTAAAAAACCATCTTACATAAAATAATTGAATAGTCTTTATATATAGTCTATAGAGCTCTTCATAGACCCACAAATAAATGAACAGATCTACCCTCATCCCAGATCAAACATGAACGACCATTAGCGCCCTTTCACACAACGAGTTTATCTCTCTAACCATAAAATACTATGTTCCGCCTGTGTCGTTCACGTTCGATTTAATTCGAGTTCTTTTGTTGCCGATGCCGCGAAAGGATGAATTAAACCGGAATTAGCAGAGATATGATGTTGATAGCAGAAGCTGGCATTATCGTGAGTAGTACTTAACACGAATACAATCACAGACGCAGACAGCTCAACTGGTTCGAGTTGGGGCATTGTCGAATTCTGTCTAGCGAACAGTCGACTGTGAGCGTCATTGCGCCGAACTTCGGGACTGGCAAAAGTCTCGAGCCATCGCCTTCGCAATAGGTGACGATCAACGAGCTCTGGCAACAAGCGTCCTCGTTTCCCCTCGCCCTTCGTTTTACTTTGGTCAAATCTGTGGCTCGTTAGCGCCACGTCCGCGCCACTGAAACATTTGTTCGTGTGTCGAACGCCGAGGGGAATATGCCGGCGAGTTGTTTTGTTGCAATAATCTCCTTTCTTTCTATTGCTGTTCTTTGGGTGGAGCCGCTCCTGTTGGAAAGGGGTGGTCCGTCCTATCCAGCTGACCGACAGGCACATTGATCAAAAAAAGTAGCGCCAACAGACCTTGTAAAGCAAATCGCTGCCAGTAGACTGGCTGCTGCCATAGACGACGAAGATGATCGTCATGACAATCTGCCCGTTGTTTATCTGAACATTGGAACGCGCAGGGGCTAGAGGCCGACAACTTCAATCCTTGTTTCACCCCCTATGGCTTCCCTTTCTCACGCCCGACACACAAAAATCCGCACTCATAAATGACCATGTCTTCATTATTGGCCCGCCTACGACACGTTTAATATAGGCACGATATTGCACCGAACTGAAAATTTAACAGGGCAAAGTCCATGCAAGAACGTTAAACTGCCGTAAAAGCTGTGCCGGTAGACGCGTTATAAATCCGAAACGTCTAATCCAAAAAAACTGTGTACTGAAAAGAGGCTGCCAACACATCTGAGTTTCGTAAACGCAGCATGCTTGCAAAACACTGGCTCGTACTGTTAGCGCACGTTGTCTGCACATTATTGCCTGCATCAGCTGAAATATCCTAGGTTGCCAAAACACTCCCAGAGCGCCCAAGACAAGAATACACGCTCACCCCTCACGAACGTGCATTCTGCTGGGAAACATCTACGAAAGTCATCTACGAAGGGGGGAAACATCCATTGATCCCGATCTACTCTGCTCAATATTGTCAACCACATTGCAGTCACAAAACAAGCAACTGGGCGACAGACCCAAGTTGTTACTGGATGGTTAACGTAGGTTCGTACTCTCTTATTGCCCAAAATCGATATTGGTTGGCAACGTATCTAACAATGAAATTCACTATTCTCGGTTTATACGTGTAGTGCGTGTCTAACTGCAATTTCGCCTTCCATACCATTTGACAGTGCTTGCCGTTAAACAAAACCTCTCTTGCTGGGTGGTATTAATTGTTTTTCTATTCATTGTCGTACCAAAACGACTGGCGTACTGACATGCATGACCTTATGCAGATCTCCATAGTCTGTATGTCAGTTGACAAATGGCGACTGTTATGCACTTGTGTGTGCGTGCGCACAACGCTTGCAGGGGTAAGTTGAACTTTTACTGCGTGCGATGTAAACCCTGCACGTTACAATTTACTCTAGAAAGTATCACGGATGAATATTTTTTTATTCTTCGTTAGAGGCAACCACACATCCGTTGCCATCATTTATTACTGCTACCAGCTATTCCTTTCGATACGCGGTAAATTCAGCTCTGCATCACTGACGAAATGCAATGTATTTTTGATTTTTCTTAGAGGCGGACCGAAATGACCTCACCTAGGCAGTACCAGTCGTCCTTTTCTATAATCTAACATGGCTACTGTCTAGACTAGCAAATGACGGACGCTGGGCAAATGGGCCTCTGACGCGGGCTGTAGGCGTTCAATAGTAACCGACCGTTCAAAGCATCACCGACCAAACATATGTCGCTTACGGTTAAAAATGCGAATCAATATATTGGACAAATCGTATGCGAGATTATAATAGGGATCCATTCTGCTCAAATCTGCAAGATCTACACGGATTTTTTTTTGCCTATTCGAAAAATCCAGGGTGTTTCCTCTTTTCATTTGTACCATTACATGGTACGAAAAGCCCCCAAGCTATACCAGTAACTATCCTAATTACTAACAAGTATACACAATGGCATTATGTCATATTTCCAGACTGATAAAGGCGACTCGTAAATGGAAAGAAGAACTTGCATGAAACTTGTACGGGTCTACAACAAATTATTAACAGGAAAGCAACATATGTTTCTTGTTTTTTGCAGCTGGTCTCACTATCTTACCTATATATGCATATATATATATA